CCCCCCCCCCCCTCCTCGGGCAGCCGGGCCCGCGGCGGCCCTGTTGGCCCTGGCTTCCTGCCCCATCTGCTCCGCATGCTCGACTTCCTCGTTGGCGCGATGGGCCCCCGAGTGCGCGTGGTCCAGCCTGTGCTCTCCTGGCCGTCGGCCGACTGCGCTGACTGCGATCGCGGTTTCTTGGCGGCGGCGCCCGCGGCACTTTCGTGTTCACTCGGCCTCGTGCTTGAGGCGTGCCCCTGCCCAGTTCCTGGTCAGTTCTCTTCAGACGTCGTCGACCTTGTTCTGGGGTGCGCGTGGTTTCCTCAGGAGTGAGCGTGCGACTTCGGCGGTGCCGCTCGTGCTGGATTCTGGTCAGTGACGCATTCCTGGCCTTCGGTCTTAGCATTGCCGCCTGGTGCGCATTGCAAGCGAGCCGCCCCCTTCAGGGGCTGGGTGCATGGATGTCTCGCGCGGTTTATCATACGTCTAGTCCTCGCCCTCAGCGGCCACTTGTCAGCGTTGCGCGCGACTTTGTTGGCGCCCCTTCCATGCGCTAGTTTCCTGGTCGGTGAGTTCATCCTGGCCTAGCTGGCGCCAGCGGCCCTTCGCGATGGCGCCCTTGGTCTTCATCCTGGCATCGCTCCCGCGCCGTTTTGGCTGCGCCCCAACTTCGGTCGGCGAATTGCATGCGCTCGCTCCTGGACCTGTTTCCTGGCAGCTGCAGCCCGCGCCCCCTCTCGCTTCCGGTGTTCTGAGGTGCCGCCTAGGCCTCTGTTTGCTGGCGCGTCAGGCAATCAGGTTCGCGCGCGGCCCGCTCGTTCCGCTGCTCGCCGCCTGCGCTTTCGCTTGCGGTTGCGACAGAAAAGTGCCCCCACCAGCCGTCTCCCTCTTCTTCCTGTGTTGTTCGCTCTTTCGCCCTCTTCCTCTGTTTCTTCGCTCGCCCTCGCCCCTGCCGCGCTGCCGCTGCGCATCGCCTGGTAGTTTTCGCCGCCGTCGTGGCATTCTTTTCTTGCGCTTCGCCAGTGACAGTTGCGCTGTGCGCCGTGTCCAGGTGCTGCTCGACCCTTTAGCGGTGCGCGGCTGCTTCCGCGTCGCTCGCAATTAAAAAGTACCCCCACCAGCCAATTCAGAAACGATCAGCAGGGGAGGTGGTGAACCGCGGGCGGCAGGACGCATGCTGGTGCGCAGCCGCCTTCGGGAAAACAAGGATCGCGAAAGGTTTCCCGCATTTAAATTTAAAATGGGAATCGCCGCAAACTGCGATGGTGTTTCGATGATGGGTGAGGGTTTTTTTGCGATGATCCGTAGTGGCTGTTGCACCGATTTGCATCGTAAGCCCGCGTGCGTGGACGCATCTTGGGGCCCTCTTGCGTTTATCTTGGGCCCCTCTCGGGGCCTCCTGGGCCTCTTGCTTGGGGCTCTCTGGATGGCCTCTTATGGCCTTTTGGGGCCTTTCTGGGGGCGTCTTGGGGCCCTCTTGGGGATCGTTTAGGAGGTCAGGTTTTTTTTTGCTGGTTTGGGATGCGTGGGGGGGCCTCTTGGGGCCGTCTTGGACCCTGCCGCTAAAAAAAAACTGGGCCCCTAATTCTGCCCCCTTTTTTTCGGAGGCTCAAACGTGCCGTATTGGGGCCCTCTTGGGCCGTTCTTGGGGCGTTTTTTGGCGCTCTTGGGGCCGTCTTGGGGTCCGCTTGGAACCCTCTTGGGGTTATCTTGGGCCGTCTTGGGGCCATCTTGCGGCGAAGCCATCGGAGGCGAAAAAGCGAGAAGACAACACACATTGATGTTTTTCAGGTTGTTGAGAGATTGTGGCCTCCTGGGGGGGTCTTCGGAGGCTTCGGACAGCACTTGAAGCCGTCATGGGGCTATCTTGAGGCCTCTTGGACGTGTGTCGCAGGCGATCTTGACCCATATATCGCTATCTTGGGCCATCTTGGAGGCCATCTTGCGCTCCCTGAGGCCCTCTTGGGGCCATCTTGGGCCATCTTGGACGCTGCTGCGGGTCGCGCCCCCCCCGTCCAAACGCATGGATGGGGGGAGGTAAACGTCCCAAGCAGGGAAAGGAAGGAGGTTGGAAAAGGAAACGCCTTAGACCACCTGCGCCCAGAGGGCTGGTGGGATCCCCATGCCATGGCGGACCCGCTGTTCTGCCTTGGCAGAGGCGATCAAGAGGAAACAACATTCCCACGGTCAAAATGTCCTCGACGGGGCGAGGGGGGCCCATCGAGGCTCTCGTCTGCATGGGCCTGGAGGCGGCTCGGGCCCCGCGCGGCGCAGGAGTGTGGCGATGGCCTTTTCTCCGTCAGGCTGTGCCTGTTACCGGCGGTCGTTTCCTGTACTGATGCCTCTGTTTTTGTTTGTCCCGAGGTATCATCGTTGGGATAAGGGTGGTCCGCGTTGGCGGCGCTGTTTGGGCTTGAACTAGCGCGACCAGTTGCACCATCTGTGCCGCGAACGCCCCTGTGTCCTTGTTCAGGTTGGTTCGTTGGCTTGGACAGTGGAGATCCCGTGCTCCAGCTGGTGGCGCTGTTGGGCCAGCGTGGCTTGACTGATGGCTGCGCTGGTCACAATTGTTTCGGGTCGCTGCGCGGCGTCAGCCAGCCTCAGTTGACCCTCTTCCAGGCTGCGGAAGCGGGCGTTTGCTTTGTATTTTTTGTTTGGTTAGCCACTCATCATCAGAAGCTCCCCCATAGCCTGGTGGGACTTGATTCCCCGCGGGGGATAGAGGCGGGGCACCAGTACCACCGCACTTGGCGGCGCCATTCGCCGCGACGCAATCCTCGTCGTCACAGAGGCCTTGCCAGGCCGCTGCGCTGCGGGGCTGCGGTTCGCCCGATGGTGGCGCAACAGCTTGCCCGGTTGCGCTGGGCGAGCGCTGAACACTCTTTTTGACGCTAGTGCCGCGCCGCTTTTTGTCTGGAAGCGGCGTTTCTGGGGGCGGCGCGCTTCTTACTTGTGTCGACGGCGGTGTCAGCAGCGCTTGCCTGGGCGGCCTTGTGGCCGCCTTGTCCTGGAGAGTCGGCGCGGCGCTGGTGCCCAGGCCACCTGTTGTTAGGGATCCAGCGTGGGCGCCGTTGAAGTGATGGTCTCTGGTGGGACGATCTTCTCCGCGTGCATCCTCAGTGGGTCCGTCTTGCAGTTGGTCTCCACCCGAGTGATGGTCCAAACATGAGCCGTGGTATTGGGCGTTGTTGTGGCCGCTTTGACGATGGCAAGTCCCCCATGGTTGGATGGATTTCGCAGTGCCAGTGGATGGATGCGAATACTTTCTGGCGGTGTGCGTTTTCGTTGCGCTCTGAGGCTGAACATCTGTTACGCAATATCTAAGATTTGTACGCGCCGCGTCAGTTCCCCTGGGCTCGAGGTCGGCTGGGCATCTTGGAGCGCGATGTGTTAGCCGTCTTGGTGCCGCGCCGTGATGCACTCACTGGGTACAGGGCCTTCGGCGCCGTGGTGGGCGCTGTCAAACCGGGCGCCCCTTCGGCCTGAGGCGGCCAAGACGGGTGGGGCGCCGGTCGGTTCGATGCCAAAAGCGGCGGTGAGTTCGCGCTTACCCGCTGCCGTGCCGCGACGACCCAGTAGCTTCATGTGCTCTTGCGTTTGCGCAGTGCGGATGTGGGAGCGTCGGCGAGGTCGTAGTCGAGATGTTCACATGCGCGGTCAAATTTCTCCGTCTCATGGCGCTCTGCGGCCCTCTGCTGCAATGCGCCAGTGCCTCATGGGTGGCGCGCGCTTTGGACGGGAGCTGCCCCCGAGAACTGGGAGGTGAATAGCTCCTGCGCGGATCCAGATCACGTTGCCGACTGGGTCAAGGGTTACTTTCACTGCATGTTGCAGGCATTTCACCTCTGTGTGGCCTAGTTGGTAGATGGTTCCCTGCATAGTGTTGGTCGGCGGGTTTGTTGTAGGATCTGGCTGTCCTCTTTTTGCTTCTGGCGTGCGAAGGGAGATGTTGCCGGTGTGCGATGTGCCGTCCCCCCCCTGTTGGGAGCAAGAGCGATGGGTCTTTTGCGCATCCAGGCTGACGAGTGGGGCGGTGCCGTTGCCCTGGTTGACGTCGGCAGAGGCCGCGGACCCTGGTGGGTCATGGTCGGAGCTCTTTTTGCGGGTCAGGCAGCAGCGCAGCTTGGTGCAGCTGATCAGATTCTTCCCACACAGTTTCAGCGACTCTCTCCCGAGTTTGTGTTGGTTGTCGCGATGTTGTCCGTTCATTGTGTCCGTCGCGAGTTCGTTGTATGCAGCGACTGTTCGATCGACGCCGGCACTGCCCTGGAGCGCGGCGACGCAGGCTTCATTTCGGGATAGACCGCTGTCTGGAAAGAGTATTTTTTTGCGGCCCTGGCTTGGTGGCTTAGGCTGCTGAGTTTGGTACATTCACGGCGAGGACCTTTCGGGGCCACGGCGCGCGCGCGCGGGTCCTGCTGGTAGGAGGGGTTGACACGAACCAGTCGCACGCTGGGTTGGCGTGTGTCCAGTCTCGCGGTGCAATCAACTGTAATACTGGGCTCTCCGTGTCTGTGGTTACACTTGTAACCGAACGTACCCGAGCTGAGACTGGACAGACAAGAAGAGAGGGGAAGGAGTAAGAGGGTTAGGGAAGTGAGCTGAGGGAGAGGGGGGATTACTAGGGGGACGCAGGCGACACCCCGACAGGAGATGGGCACGGGAGGGGTGAGTGTCGTGGAGGGTGGGGAGAGGGATGCGGCCATCTCCAGGTGGTTTCCCCGCCTCCCTGGTTCGGTCCTCTTGCACCCGTGTCCTTCGCTTGGCCCTCCCCCGTTTCCTTGCTCGCCCCCCCCCCCTTGGCGAGGAGGAGGAGTCCACGTGGCGGCGTGGGAGAGGGGAGGGGCAGGGGGCACGACTGGAATGGGGGAGGAGGAAAAGGATCCAGCGAAGGAGGGGGAGAGGTCCTTCGCCTCCTTCCTCCCTTCCTGCCTCCTGCCTCCTCGTCGTTCCCTTTCCTCGCTCCGTCCCTCCTCCTCCCTCTTCCGTGTGATTTGACCCCCCTCATGCGCGCGCACCAGATTACCGCGTTCGGGGACTGGCCATCGATGGGCGGCGCCCACCGAGCGCTGCAGACTGCCCCCGGGCACCAAGCTGCTGGTCCGCCCATGGAGGAGAAGGAGGAGAGGGAGGAGGAGGAGGAAGAGGAGGAGGAGGAGGAGGAGGACGGAGGAGGAGGACGGAGGAGGAGGAGGAGGAGGAGGACGGAGGAGGAGGACGAGGAGGAGGACGAGGAGGTCGCCCCGAGGGGTGGTGGTGGTGGTGGTGGTGGTGGTGGTGGTGGTGGTGGTGGTGGTGGTGGTGGTGGTGGTGGTGGTGGTGGGTGTCGTCGTCCTCCTCCTCGGCCCTCGCCCTCGCTATCTGACCAAGGGCACAATTTCCAGACGCAATGTGTCACTTGCGCTCTTCAAGCAGGCACGCGGACTGAACATGACCATCTAGAAGTCGGCCGCCAGGCCAGATCACCGCCCTCGTGCACTCCGCATGAGTGCTGAGTCCCGCGTCGGCGAACGCTCGGAGTTTGTCGGTTCTTGGCTAACTCTCAAACGTTTGACCGCGCGGTTCCGTGAAGAAGGCGGTGCCGTTAAGGGCACAGTCGAATAAGCTACCGCATTGACCGCCTTCTGGGTGATAAGAAGGTCGGTGTGAATGGGTACAGTTTTTGTTCGCGATTGGCGTCGGATTTGGTTTGCGACTTATGGATCTAGCAATATCGGTACTGGTTCAGGAGACATGCACTAGACCTTCCACCCCCAGACGAGGATATGTGCGGCTTCGGATGTCGTGTGTGGTGTTTGCCATTTCCCTTGTGCTGATTCGCCCTGCTAATTTTTCCGCGTCTGTTGCGGTGTTTTTTTGGGCCTCTTGGAGGCTCAGGGGGCCGCCGTTGGGAGATGTTTCAAGGTTTCCTGGGTCTTCGGGGGGCCCGCTGGGGGCTTCTTGGGGGCCTCAGGGGGTCATGATGGATTTTGGGGGCCCATCTTGTTGGGGAGGACTCTCGGGATGTCTCAATACTGCTATGTCGATCTTCGCAGCCATCTGCACCACTACCAAGCAACGCATCGATCTCCCTGTCACTGCGATATGGTTATCGATCTCACTATCTGTTGATTAGTCTCATGGTCGACCTACCGACTTCACCATCACGACCACGATGCGTGTATAGTCATGCATTTGTCTGTACACAGCCAGCGATCGCATGATGTATTGGTCGAACAATGTGTCGACCAGTCTGACCAGCTATACGCGCATACATAGATATGCCTATATATGTATGTGTGTATGAATACATGTGACTATCCGTATATGTAACTGTATATATATACACATATACATACACATATAGCTATGCCAGCTTCACACGGCATCTCCGTAAATCAATATATCATACACCACTCGGTCTCGCAATATCCCCGTCTCACTGCTACCTATTCATCTCTCAATCGATTTATCTACCGATCTCACTTTGCATCCGGGCAACCGTTGACACTTGACAATTGACACTTGACACTTGACACTGCGCCCTCACGTCACGAGGGACGGCCCTACGAGGGGCGGGGCCGTCGCGCCTCGGCGCGGACAAATGTGAAAAAAAAGTTTCAATCAAGGGGGAAGGGAGGAAAAGGAAGAGGACGCTGGACCGGCCAGCAAGCTCACTCACCTTGAATACGATGTTGTCCCTGCACGTACCGCTCCTCCATTTGAGACCATAGAATACTATCTGGCGCAATTGTTTGCCAGTCCTTTCCGGAAGCCGTGCGTATGAATTTGGCAATGTCATCGAGCCACCTCTTGTTGGGTCGGTGTGGCAACCTCCTTGCACGTTTATCGGTCGCGGCTGGATCCCAGAATATCGCCTTCCAGATCCATTTGCCAACGTTGTCGCTGATCGTGGAAACAAACAGTCTCCATTGTAGTCGCCGTTGCCGTGCGCACCAATCTTCATACCCCATCTCGTGGCAATAGCCTTCAATATGCGTAGTCGTGCGCCGTATCCAATCGATCCAGGGTTCGAGAGGGTCCACCGGACTGCGTGAATTGGATGCTGTGGTTGTGCTACTCGTGCTGGTGTGGGTGTCGTCGCTGTCACAATCACTGTCTGCACCAGATCTGTGGAAATCTTGTTCTCCTCTTGCCGCTTCCGGACCATGGCGTCGAGGTGACCCAAGAATCATTCTGAGCATGCGGCGTTGCGTCGACCGCACTCGCGCCTCGAGCGGGATTGTCATCGTCCAAGAGCTGGAACCATAAAGCAGTGTCGGCGCAACAATGCCATTGAACAATCGAAGCCGATCTTTCAGAGAATATGAACGTGTAGTTAGTTCTTGCTTGAACAAGCCGAATTGTTTTCATGCCGCCTTGATTCTTGCTTCAACCTCTGTCGCAATTGGCTGATAAAAGGTAATTTGGCGTCTCAAATATTTCTGCGTCGCGGAGAAAGGCAGCACCTCGATGTAAAGTCCATTGATAACCACGTGTTCGGGGCTTTTCCGCGGTCTCCTGGCTCGCACGTTGTGGAGTATTTTCGTCTTCCCGGGGTGTATCTCCAGACTAGTGGGTTGTGCAGCACATATTACGTTCGATATCAGGCCCTTCAATTGTTTAAGCGAAGTTGCGAGTAAAAGAACATCATCGGCAAATCGAAGGTCGGTGAGGCCATCGTGCTCGTGCACTGCCAACTGTATGCCGCAGCGCCGGTCGGACCATTGCGCGCGGAAGCTATTGAAGACAAATTCGGAGAGGCAGTTGAACAGCAATGAGCTCAGTTTTGTTCCCCTGCTAATCGTGAAGATCCTGCTGCGCACATCAGTCTTGACGCATGCTGTCTGGTCAGCGTACATGTGCGCGATCAAGTGAATGTATGCCTCTGGAACCTCGTGCGCCCGTAGTGCTTCCCGTGCGCTTCCCAAAGTCCAAGGTCGCAACCCAGACTGGGATTTGGAATTCTGATGCCTTCTCTTGGACGATGGCGAACGTCAACAAATGATCGTCTGTACTGAAGTGCCGTCGAAAACCGACCTGAGAAGGGGGCTGCTTTGCATCCAACATCGTCTCCAGTCGGTTGTAAAGTAAACGGGAAAATAACTTGTAAATGAGGGGAATAATTGAAATGGGGCGGTAATTCTGCGGTAACGCGGGCTCGCCAGACTTGAAAATTACGCTGATCTGAGTATGTTTCCACTGTTGCGGCGTGTTGGTGCCGTCAGCGACGATGTCGTTGAAGAGTTTCCGTAAAGCCTGCCGTAGAGATACGCCTCCGTACTTCAACATTTCCGCTGCTATGCCATTGGTGTCCGGAGCCTTCCCATTTTTGAGTTGTCGTAAAGCACGCACCAATTCCTCATCCGTGAAAGGAGGTAATTTACGGTCGTTTGCAGTTCCACCACGGTTGAAGACGGAATTTGTCCTACCAGGTTCTGAGTACAGTGATGCGTAGAAATCGGCAAACACATCAGCTATGCCAAGTCTGTCGTGTACCTGTTCGCCGGATGTTGTCTGCATCGATGTGATCATCTCTTTCCCTTTTGTAGATTTTACCCCAGCTATGCGATTCAATCCCTGGAACTCGCTGAGTATGGTTGTGATCTTATCATGCCTTACAATTCTGCATTGCTTGCGTACCTCTCTTCGGATCTTTAGGCTGAGGTTTCGTCGTAAAGTTGTGTCTGCACTGCGTAGCTGCTGGCGCTGGTGGAGTAAGTCGTCCAATGTGGTATGGGGGCGCTGCGGTGCAGTAGGCGACTGTCTTCTGGCATCTGCTGCTGGGTCCTCCATGGACTGCTGGATCGATGATAATATGAAGTCGTATCTCGATTGAACTCCAGACGCATCATCTGCATCTACGAGGGCGCCTTCCAAACGTCGCACGTACGCATGCTTGTCCAAGGGGGGCCACTTCAGTGTCATGGTTGTTGGAAATGCAGCCTTCCGTATTCCAGATGGCGACTTGGTGGCAACCGGCTTCTTGAAGATATTGTTCCGCATCGTTACGTCCGTATGATTTGATCCCATATCCACCGTTGTCGACGCAACACAATCCACCATTGTGTACCAAAATCGTCTCGACGTAAGAATATAATCGATCTGTCTCGGAGCCTGCCGTCGGGAACTATGCAAAAATGTTGGCAATAGATGGGGGCGTTTACAAAACATAGTGTTTGTAATGACAAGGTTGTGTGTATTGGCCCACTGCTTCAACCATTCCCCTCGTGCGTCCCCAGGGTCGTGCGCTTGCTTTCCATTTACCCGTCTGTTGTCCTCGTTGGTTGCAGTCCCAACTTGTGCATTACAATCAGCTCCGATCACAATATGATACCTGTCCCGTGTGCCTGCTTTGACTATCATGGATAACTCGTCATACACTTCCTGCACTGCTCGGTCGGGATACTTCCTGTGAGGGAAATAAGCAGCTACGAGCCTGAACCGTAAGGACTTCCATCGTATATCCACATACGCGATGCGCGCACTAACCGGCATGAATCGCTTAATGCAGTGTGTCCACCGTGCATGTAACAATATACCAACCCCATGCTTGTGTGATCCTCCACCAGAACCCGCGTATATACGTCCGCCGCTAACCGTGTAAAATTCATTGTCAGACGGACGCATGGTCTCGTTGAGGAGCACGGCGTCCCACCATTCACAGTTCGACAACTCCTGCAAGAGCTCGGAGAACCTCTCATCGGACGTAAGCCCTCGGATATTCTTATGAATCAGCACGAATGGTTTGTAGGTATGCCCATCCGCCTCAGGTCGTCGTACACGCGGTGGTCCACGGCCCTCAACAGGAAGATCCTGCACCGGAGGCGGCATCTTCGCAGCCACAGGTCCCGAAGGCGATTCCTGAAGAACGTAGGCGAAATGGGGCTGGCCAGGCGCATCTCCATCCACTATTCTGTATTTTCCCCTCCCTCCCCCACGTCCTGAAACAGGTCCTCTTGAAGGATGCTGCAGTGATATTTGGGTGGATGGAGGCGTCGTTTCTGGATAAGTCCCAAAAATGTTTGTGTTGTTGCTGTCTTGAACCTGGGTTGTGCCCATAGGAGAAGCTCTGGGTGAAACAGTAGTGGTTGGTGAAACAATTCCCTGTGAAACACTCCCGACTGGGTATCCCAAACCAGTGCCTTCGCATCCTTCCGCGCCTGGTACACCATGTGCTAAGTCGGAGCCGGAGTCGGAGAAGGGATTCAACGTGGTAGCTGGAGCTGGAGTCGGGGCTGGAGTTGGAGTCGCAGCCGGAGTCGGATCCACGAGGTAGCTTTGATACCGGGAGCCGGAGTCGGAGTTGAGTTTGGCACTTGGGTTGGGATGAGGGTCGGAGGGTGGCTTGGAGTTAATATTGTAGCGATCCGTCGTTGTATTATGGTCCTTCGGAGTAGTAGAGCGCAATCGTCGTCGTCACTGGAGGTCGCGCGCGGCCTTCCATTCGTTCATGAACTGTACCACGTCTTCCTTGATGGTGTCCCCGTCCCCGTGCGTGGTAAGGTCGCCGTTTTTGGCAACCTTTGCAACGATGACCCCTTTGACTTTCACTACTTCTGATTCCCAGTAGATGCGTATGGACTTCTGGTCGATACCATTTTCGATGAGCCGGTGCTTCACCTGGCTCAGAGTCTTGTCAATGAGCCTTATCTCGATGGGGTCGTTGCTCTTGCACCAAAGCTTGTCGCCGTTAGCCCATGTCGCTGGCCTGCCACGCCATCGTCGTAGAAATCCGATTTTCCCACCTGTTGTCTTGAATTGGACTATGCCGAGCTTGCCCGGGTCGCTGTAGGTGAAGATGTTGCTGGTTTTGTCCATGGCGTTGAGGTCGGTAAGAATGTCGGTCAATTTTTTGATCACTTCGTCCTCAGAGACGTCCTCCTGCAATCCCCGAACACGACTTGCATGTTCCGGTCAGCGTCCTCATCGTTTCGAGGGGTACCATTGGTCCTGTCATGTTTCCCGATGGTCTCTTCATAATTCTGTTTGATGTTTTCCTGGAGATCCCTCTTTATGGCCTCCAGCTCCTGGCTCAGGACTTCCTTTGTGACGTAGTCGGTCTCCACCTCTGCTCGGAGGTGGTCAATTTCTGCTTCTACATCCTCAACTAGATCATGCGCACTTCGTGCAAGTTGTAAGGCTTAATTTGCCTCGCACCTGATCTCGTTGATCGACTTCTTCACATCGGCCATGTCCGACGTGATCGTGTCCAGCTGGGAGTTCAAGCGTTTCTCGTACTCCTTGAACCACTCAGGAGCGGCAGCCGTAACCAAGGCACCTCCTGATGAACTAACTCATGGTTGGCTCGTCTCCAGCCTGATGTTCTTCATCTCTTTTCTTCTTCTGCTTCTCGGGGGTCGAGCAGATGTGACCACCGTGGCGCTTTCCTTTCTCCTTGTCTGGCATCCCTGCCCAGAATGGTGCGATCAATGTGTGAGGAATGGTAAGAGTAGTACAGGTAAGATGAGAAAAGAGGTTAAGTATTGAGACAAGATGGCTTGAGCCAAGTATTGAGCCAAAGAGAACCGCTGGGACAATAATAGATTGATTAACCATGGGGACAACCAACTGGACAACCGTTGGCAATACCTTCAGTGCAAACACCTCCATCGAGGCAACCAGTGGGACAACCATCAGGACAATCGCAGGGACAACCATCGGGACAGCCACCTATGGGTTACTATCGGGAAACCAAGGGAAAAATCATCGGGGCAACCATCGGTTCAACCACTGGGGCAACCACTGGGGCAACCATGGGGACACGCATCGGGGTAACCTGGCGGCCACCGGGGGGAGGTGTGGTGAGGATGTGCCACGCTCGTCTATGCGTTGTTCAAGATGCTGTCAAAGCTACGGTACCGCCCGTGGGACTTTCCTTGGACGCCTGGGAGCGTCGCGTTGCTCTTCGTCGTCGCATCTTTGCGCGCACAGATGGCCGATTGTAGCGCGCACCCAGGGAGAGGTGGAGGAGGAAAGGTAGGAGAAGGGAGAAGAGCGAGAGGATGAGGGGGAGGAGGAGGAGGGGCAGGATGGGGGAGGAGGAAGAGGAGGAGGAGGAGGAGGAGGAGGAGGAGGAGGATGCACATGCGGATGTTCTCGCCCGTGGTAGACGTCATGAGTCAAAATGGCTGCGGGCGCCTACGGGGGAGGAGGGAGGGAGGGAGGGAGGGGTACGGTCGACCAGGAGGGGACGACTGGAGGGAGGGAGGGAGGGAGGGAGAAAGAGAGAGAGAGAGAGGGAGAGAATGAGAGAAGAGAAGAGGTGAGAAGAGGAGGGAGGAGGAGGGAGGAGCAGGAGGAGGAGGAGGGAGGAGGCGGAGGAGGCGGAGGATGAGGATGAGGAGGAGGAGGTGGAGGGGGGGAGGGGGGGCGGAGGAGGGTTGTATCCTGGCGCGGCTGAAAGCGTGCAAGCGGGTCTGGCTACGCAGCCAGACTCAGGCGAGAACCTGACAGGAAAAACCTCGGGCACATCGCACACGGGAGTGCCGCACGAGGAAGGGACAGGAGGCTAGCCCGACACGGCGCATTCGTTCTCGACCACGACCAGGCCCCCGTAGGTGGCGTCGAGGACATCGTCGCCGAAGGGGCGAGGCTTCATCTGTCCCTGCACAGACGACATCAGCGGCCGTTCAGTACGATGGTGCAGGCCCCCCCAGACAGTCTAAACGAGTGCGCGTTTTGGGAGGCACTCCGCCGTTGCAAGGGAGCGCCAGGAGCTGCGCATTCTCGGTGGAGTGCGCACCACAGCGGGCGCAGAAGACGAACTGGCCAACGTGCCAGAGGCGGGGGCCCTCTCCAGGCGCGCGCACGGCTGGGATGAGGCGTCCCGCTGCCGAGCGACGCGGAAGCACCTGGCGCACTTGAAGCCCGTGGGAGACGGCACGGGCAAGTGGGCATCAGGGGGCGGCTCCGTGTCCGCCGTGAGGGCTGGCGTCGGCCCCCGTCGGTTGGCCCGCCGCAGCTGTCCGTGGCGCGGCGCCTGCTGCGACTTGGGGCCGGCAGCCTGAATTGCCCTGGCAAGGAACTTGGCCACGAAGGCGACCAGCTTAAAGGAGCGCTGCACACGCTGGCTGGCCTCGGCATTTTTGGGATGGAGGGAGGCGCCCACACGGGCGCCAGCATCAGCGTGGCGGTTCCCCCACCTCGCGACAGCACCCAGCTCCTGCTCGTCATCGTGACGGCGGCGGACATGGCCTTTCACCTTCCGCACTTCCACCCCCCCAAAGGTCGTCCACGCGATCCCCGATCTGAGACCAGACGTCAGCGCCCTCGCACATGGCGCCCGTGGTCTCGGAACGGCCACGCTGGAAGCTTGAGACCACCCAATCGCAGTCCGAATGGTAGCGAAAGGGGCCCAGTCCAGCGCGCGTGAGAGACATGGGCAGGCAATATGCTTCGGCCAGGTCCGACGCTTGGTGCGGGCCAGGCAGCAGGCCGCGCAGGGACGCCACGAGGCCCCCACTGTCGTCGACCTGCACGACACACCAGCCCGCGCGTAGGAGACGCATGTCGCCCTGTACAAGCGACACGCACGAGCCGTCGCCGAAGGCCTCGCCTTCGAAATGACCGTCCAGCGGACGCACGAGCCAGCGGACGAGTAGGGGGAGGAGGGGCCGATCACCCAGGGCCGAGGGTCGGGGACAAGGCCGCGCCTCCAAAGGCCCCAGTCGGGGTGCTCAAGGAGGCCCTCACGGACAGAGGGGGGGAGGTCATAGTCCCGCACATACTGCCAGGTGGCCGAGCACTCACCCGCAATCCAGGCGGCGAGGGTGCCAGGGCAACAGCCACACAGGGTGCGCGACGGATCGGTCGCCAGACCGTCCTTGTATTTGCGAGCCTGGTCCCAGATCCCATTCGCTGCAATCGCTCGGAGACTGGCCTGGTGCTGGATGTCCCAGTCAGGCCCGCGCGCTCAATTGCGCGGCTTGCGGATGGGTGACAAGCGATGCCTATGTGAGAGGCTCGACATGTAGTCGTAGTTCTGGCGGGCCCGATTCATCAGCCAATCCTCGATCGCGAGGCGAGAAACGCGCAGCACAGAGCGAGGGCACGAGCGAGATCATTTTTAACCATCCTGAGTAAATTATCCCGGCACAGCAACCTAACAGCGATGTGTAGAAACATATCTGGAAGCAGTCTCCTTAAGATTCAGATCATAATCCAGTTGTAGAATTCTGCTGTTCTCACAGTCGCAGTCGCATTCGCGATGACAGTCGCAGCGGCAACGGCATTCGCAATCACAGCCTCAGCCTCAGCCTGCCTCAGTATCAGCCTGCCTCACTCTCAGCCTCAGCCTGCCTCAGCCTCAGCCTCAACCTCAGCCTGCTTCAGCCTCAGCCTCAGTCTGCCTTCAGCCTCAGCCTCAGCATCAGCATCAGCCTCAGCCTGCCTCAGCCTCAGCCTGCATAAGCCTCAGCGTCTGCCTCAGTCTGCCTCAGCGTCTGCCTCAGCCTGCCTCAGCCTCAGCCTCAGCCTCAGCCTCAGCCTCAGGCTGCCTCAGCATCAGCCTGCCTCAGCCTCAGCCTCAGCCTGCCTCAGCCTCAGCTCAGCCTGCCTTCAGCCGCAGCCTCAGCCTCAGCCTGCCTCAGCCTCAGCCTCAGCCTCAGCCTCAGCCTCAGCCTCAGCCTCAGCCTCAGCCTCAGCCTCAGCCTGCCTCAGCGTCTGCCTCAGCCTCAGTCTGCCTTCAGCCTCAGCCTCAGCATCAGCATCAGCCTCAGCCTGCCTCAGCCTCAGCCTGCATAAGCCTCAGCGTCTGCCTCAGTCTGCCTCAGCGTCTGCCTCAGCCTGCCTCAGCCTCAGCCTCAGCCTCAGCCTCAGCCTCAGGCTGCCTCAGCATCAGCCTGCCTCAGCCTCAGCCTCAGCCTGCCTCAGCCTCAGCTCAGCCTGCCTTCAGCCGCAGCCTCAGCCTCAGCCTGCCTCAGCCTCAGCCTCAGCCTCAGCCTCAGCCTCAGCCTCAGCCTCAGCCTGCCTCAGCGTCTGCCTCAGCCTCAGTCTGCCTTCAGCCTCGGCCTCAGCCTCAGCCTGCCTCAGCCTCAGCCTCAGCCTCAGCCTCAGCCTGCCTCAGCCTCAGCCTCAGCCTGCCTCAGCGTCAGCCTCAGCGTCAGTGCATCAGCCTCCGGGCATTCAAAATGTGGCCCGGGAATGGAGTTCTGGGAAGTCGAAGACCACGAAGCTGCCTACAGTTGGCTCCGGGCATGCAAAATGTGGCCCGGGAATGGAGTTCTGGGAAGTCGAAGACCACGAAGTGGCTTACAGTTGGCTCCGGGCATTCAAAATGTGGCCCGGGAATCGAGTTTTGGGAACTCGAAGACCACGAAGTGGCCTACAGTTGGCTCCGGGCATGCAACATGTCGCCCGGGAATGGAGTTCTGGGAACTCGAAGACCACGAAGTGGCCTACAGTTGGCTCCGGGCATCCAAAATGTACGCCGGGAGTGGAGTTCTAGCAGCGCCAAGAGCGATTGTGCGAGGATGTCCCGAGCGATTTGGGTTTCGGCGGCAGCCGCCCCGGGTCCCGCCCCGACCCCCTGAGGAGCCATGATGCTCTCTTTTGACCCCACTAGAAACCCATCAGTTTTCGCTGTGAGGCAAAAGCATGCACACTCCTGGTCCGAGCCTCCAACCCATGCGACGGCAGCTGGCGACGGCAGCCGAAATCGGACCGTTGACCAGGGGCCAGTCGCTTTTGGAAGGAGCCGGCCATGAAGGCGGCCTCCGAGGCAAACATCCACCAGGCAATCGAATCCCGAGGTATCCACGAGGACCAAATCGCCTGGGCAAGCGCGCGAATGGGCCCCGCAGTGCAAGCGTAGGCGGGGCCCGCGGCCCACGGAGAGGCGGGGGAGAGGTGGGGGTCGACATCGAGGG